CTTTATCTCTTTGATCTAGCACACCTGATCCCGCTCCTCAGCTCATTAGTACAGCACTCGATAAACATGTTTCATCCTTCACAAAAACAAAGGAAAAGCCTTGTATCTTGAACGTTGCATGTGCAAATTCAGTGTTTTCAATCTCGTTCCTCCATCCAGACTTCAACCTGTTCCTAAAGCTCATTTAAAATCCCCAGACAGTCAACACTGGGATGAGAGTACTGCAGGTTGAGAGAGGGAAGAAGGGAGAGAGAACAAAGAAAAGAGTGACAGAGAGGATGCTTCTCATTTCGGTGATCCTTTTGAATGAATCACGGTTGAAGCTGACAAACGTACAGCGTTAGCGTTGAGTAATCCTGTTTTGAAAGTGAATCCCCATGTCATTCCCTACAATTCTACAACGATGAATAAAGTTTCATAATTTAGATAGTAATAGCTTTGACAGACTCATGCTCAAGCCTGAAATGCATCTCAGCTTGCAATAAGCTTGATATGAATGCAGCACATTACATGCATAGTTGCTATATTATCTTGAACTCTTCTCAGAAGGTTATTGCCATTTTTATCTCGGATCTCTCTTATTTTCCAGTCTTTCTCGCTCTCTTTCCGGGTTTTCCCATTTATGTGGTAATGACATCATGCTTCAGTGCTTCTCATTTCCTCCTTTTCTCCTCCTCCTCTCCGGCCTGTTTGTTGTGAATGCAGTTCTGCTATCTTTCCTCTGCCTCCACAAGATTAAGGCCGGAGAAAACAAGCTTTAACTTTTAATGGGTCTCTCTTCTCTTCTCTTTCTTTCTTTGTTTTCTCCTTCGGTCTCTCTCCGTCTGTGTGGTTCAGTCTACGCCCATTTCCTCCGTCGTCGTCTAGTCTGTGTGATGGACCCCCTCCTTTTCTTTTTTGGTGTATAAAAATGGCTTCTTCTTGAAAACAGACTGTTTGTGCGTGCAGTGTTAGGAGTTGATTTAGAGGTGCATTATGCTGATAGATGATGAGAGAGATGCAGCCTTCAAAGCATTTGCATCTAGAGTGCTATGATGCGTTCCATCCCTCACGCCAAAGGAGCGTGTGAATAATATGTTATTTCTCTTCTTTCTCTTCCTCTAAAGAAGTCACTTAAATCGCAGGTGATGCCTCGGCATACTGTGAAAGGACTGCAAATGAGATTTTCTTGATTAGTAATTTAAGGTTTTCACAGAAGCAAATGGGCAGTAATAGCAGGCTGTGTAGCCCACTTCTCTGGATTAATTGATCTCTGACCTGTTCCTCCCTGAAACATTGTGAAAGCCTTCAAATGCGGTCTACTTTTCAGTCTTGCCAGCATCAACCGCAGTTATAGTACAAGGCCTAATCAGATAAAGATGTATTTATCGCCCTGTCTGGAACGCCGGATTCTTCCGATGGATGTCAGGGTAATCCTGGCTGCAGTCTCTCTGAAGAGTATATTAATATTCTGACTAATTCACCCCTGTGTCTCCTTATCCCCCAGCCCTGCTGGCACTGTCTCTTTGAATTGACCCAAACTCTACCTAACAAATGATGGCTCGGAATGAATGTCCCCTTCATTTGTGCTGCCGTAATGTGCTGATGAAAAATGAAGTGCCCTATTCAGCCTGATTATACATTAGTAAAGAGAAATCACAGTGGAGAAGGAGAGAAGAGCATAACAGTTGACTGATACATGCGTGGTGCCCTTTTTGTACTTTTTTCTGGTGTATAATACAGCAATGATATTTAATTAGCTTGATTAATTAAACATGCAGTGCCATTTTAATGTCAGAAAACAAGTATAGCAGGTGTGATAGGGTGTACAGAGATTAGCAAACAGTCTAGGAAGGCATCGTACGGGTTTCTGCTCATTAGAGGAAACTACAAACAGTGTTTTGGATCAATGTCTGTATCAGCAGATATAAGATATTAACTTCGGTTTCCCTTATCGAACAAGTCATACATAAAGGCAAACATTCGATCCTTAACGAGGCAGTATTTCCTTACCTATTAATATGTTATAAATCTTAAAGGTGCAGTATTTCATCTTGTGCCCAGTTGTTGAAATAGGTATTGCACATTTGGTTCAAAACAAGCGCAAGCACAGGTTGCCAGATTGATGACACCAACAGCAATGTGCCTGATTGTCAAGCCTAAAGGGTGATTTAAGGCTGATTTAAATCATGTTCTGAATGAAAGCAAATGCAAGCGATAGAAGGAATATTTTCCATATTAAAAAGAGTTTTTGTCCAATCCGACACCTGAAATTTACATATTAGAAACAGCTTCTATTTTTTGCAGCTGAACAACAGTAAACTGACAATGATCACCTCAGGTACACCTCATGTGCAATATTCAATTTCAAATGCTAACAATGTGAGTTAATGTGTGTGAATGCCATTTTACATGACATTAATCGCCATACTACTGAAAGCAGCAGCAGATGGTTTACCTCAGATCTTAAAAAAAAAACAGTTTGAAATTAAATGTTAGAACTGTGAAGTATTTAGAACTGTAGGTGTAAATCAACACATATCAGTGATTCAGCATGTATATTTAATTGGTTTAATATGTATTATATTATAAACATTACCATTTTGTTGAAATGCAGTTATTGTACATAAATTCTGTGCTTTTTTAATGGCTGTATTTAAATGTCTTTTGTGTTCCGTCTGGTGCAAACAGCCAAATTGCTCATCACAAATCTTGTCACTTAACGTGTTGTTAGGACACGGGATTACAATGTAATCTGCTCATGTAATGTTTACGTTTATAATATTAACATTATTTGTTAATTAATAACCTTATGTGGAACCTTAAATCTTCGTCTCATTTCGGAGTCTGCTACTGTCTACCAGAGGTTGCATTTTGGTCATGGACGCACACTTTGAAAGTCTTTCTGACTGAAATAATGAAATATGCTGTTTTCCACCAAGGCAACCCGGGGTGCTGAAATATAATTGGCTAAACTGGCATTGGGTGGGTTAAATGACCAAAACAAAGACAGTCGTTTTGCATTAGCATGTTTCTTAAATTTCTGCAAACATATTATGGTATTTTTATGCTTTAGAAAAGTCAAAAACTAACATACAGCACATTTGATATTGGGTCACTTTTTATAATGCAAGCCTATTATTGTTTTTAAAATCTCACTTGTTTGCTTTTATTCTGTTACTGGGACTCATTTGATTATCTGAACATCCAGTTGGCATGAACTCTCTCACCAAAAGCACCATTGCAGATTCAACATGCGCATTTGGCAAACTGCCCACGCATGCAGGAACACACTGCAAAAAAATTGCCCAGCAGATGCTTACCAATGATGTGATGCTGGCCAACAGCCAGCCATTGCCATGTTGTGTCACTGCCTTTGAAGACTATTGGCCAAATGTGCAAAATATTTTCAATAAACACAAGAACACAATCCAGTAAAAGCACAGATGGTAGAGGAATGGTCTACAAGGGGTCTACTGATGGGGAGAAAATTAAAGAAACAGCAGCTCATTGCCATAAGAGTCTTCTAAAAGAAAAATAATATTGCCTTCAATATCAGTATGCTAGGATAACAACATTTCTGGCATTCTAAATAAATGAACGCAAGCAAATAATATTTTTTACTCATTCTAACTTTGACTACATGTTTTCTGCGGTGCCTCCTTCCCACAGCCATATCAAGTGCAAAAAAAGATGTTTTTTAGGGTGTTAGATATTGAGACAAATACCATTAAACTGACTACAGCTAATGTTAGTTGTTCATGTTTTATTATTTATGATACTTGCCATTATTTAAATACTCTCTGACCTATAAATTTTGCCTCAAAAAGGGTAACTCTTAGCAAAAAAACTACAATTTAAAATATTAAAAATCCTTCTAATAAAGCTCTACATTTAAAATGTAATTTTTTAATTTTACCACATATAAAAACAAACACCTGTTTTTAGGACATATGTAGAACACTTTTTTGCATGCAGTTTTTCCCAATCTGTTTGTAAAGCAGTGCTGCAGGACTGGATGACAGAAAAGAAAAGAAAGGTATAGGTATATATATATATATTTCATATATATTATTTCAAAGCAGTGCTGCAGGACTGGATGACAGAAAAGAAAAGAACGGTAAAGGTATATATATATATATTTCATATATATTATTTCAAATATATTTATAAAATATATTTCAAAACTCATCTGTTTCTTATTGTTTTTAGAAAATATCTAAAATCTTTTTTCAGATAAGTTTAATTTATTTATATTATACTGTATATACCTAAATTGTTATGGCTTTTGTTTTTTTATATATTTCTTTATTTTTATTATATCCAATATTTGTAATTCTTTTATTATTTCAATATAGTTTAGGCTATTTTATCTAGATCTATGAAATTGAGATGAGCCTTCAAAAGTGGACACGTAATTTGTAAAGTTTTATGTCTTTCCGTAGTATTCATATGTGAATACAAATATGTATTCATGACCTTCAAAATAAAGAAAGAAACTCAGCCTCTTGCAGCAAGACATAGCTGTGAATCGAGCGCTATTTCGCTCGGTCTCTCACACACAAATACATGCGTCTAAACACACACGTTTCATGCACAAACACACCCTTTAAATGTGTCAAAAACTGAGAGTCACTGGCTGCTGTGTCTTTTAATGTGGTGCAAAGATTATTATGCATTATCGAAACACCAAGTAGGGCGCAGCAAAGAAATTTCACTTATTAAATTAAAACTAATTTATTATTTTATGCAACACCTTTAAATTTAAAAGGGAAAAATAAGGATCTTAAGCGGAAAAATAATAAAGACCCCTAGCCTATAAGGTGTTTTATGGAATATCTTAACCTCACCAGTCGCTATGTTTTTTCTTTGCTTTATATGTACTTATTACAAAGATGGAACTTTGCATTTAGTAAATCATGAATGTAATTTGTTTTGGTAATTTGGGTTTTTTCTGGGCTGTTAAATAAATATGCCTTTTAATCTGTTTTTGATCCCCATCCTTTTTTTATTTTTTGTAGTCAAGAGCACCATATTGAATTACCAGAGCCCTACCACTGGCCTGTTCCCGGTGAAGACCTGCTCCACCTGTAAGGAGGCTAAAGTCAGAGACTCGCTCTACTGCGCTGCCAGCATCTGGGCACTGGCATTGGCATACAGGTCAGATACTGATTGGTACTGTACTTGGAAATACATTTTCATAAAATATGGGGTCACATTGATCTGTGCAGATCTTAAATTGTGCTTCGATTGTTAAATGTAAATGAATGTGTTGGAGAAACTGGCACTTTTCCAGTGCTCCCATTTACAACCATGCCATACTCACTAATGAATCAAAATCCATAAACCCATTATCATTATGAGCTGTCTTGTTAATATCATTGGTCTATTCCTAGTGCTATTAGATAAAAATGAATGGACATAGACATATAGTGCTGCATATATAAATGAACACTATATATATATATATATATATATATATATATATATATATATATATATATATATATATATACACCCACTGACACGTAAAATCTGCATCTTTTTCAAGTTCAAAGCAAACTTGAGTGCTAAAACATTTTAGATAATGTTAAATGCAAATGATTTACTGATGGTGTACATATATTTTGCAGCCAGTTTAGACCAGTCATTTTGTTCTTCGAGTATTTAGTAAAAAGTTTTGGAGTTGTTTAGATTAAAGAATAAATTATTTAATATTTCTCTTGCTCTCCTGCAAAAACGCATTTGATTAGCAGCTACAGAGAGCGAAAGCCAATGTCAAATCCCAGACAATCTAGAACAGGCATGTCCAAGCTGGGTCCTGGAGGGCCGGTGTCCTGCTGAGTTTTGCTCCAACTTGCCTCAAAACACCTGCAGGAAGTTTTTAGTATATCTACTGAGAGCTTGATTAGCAGGTTCAGGTGGGTTTGATCAGGGTTGAAGCTAAACTCTTAGAAAAACCTGGCCAGACAAAATTTTTAAATGCCCAAAACGCACATCTCTATGGGTCTGCAGAGCATGTGAGATTGTCTGTGGGAGTGTTGACAGGTCTTGCAGGCACTGAATGGAATGGGTAAATGAGAGATTTTTCAAAACTTGATCGATCGTGGATGTTTGGTTATATTGGGCAGATATAAAAAAGTGTAAAATAATGATGATAATAAAAGTAAAGAAAAGTGTCACTAAATATACTTGGGCAGCCATTAATATACCTGGGTTGCGTTGCCAAAAAATATCATTAGCCAAGTAAGGTCGCAAGTTTCGTCGTTACAAACATAGTTCATTGACTTTTTCCAAAATCCATCATTCAACATTCTCAAACTGCGCGGCAAACTTGTACGTTTGCAACTACACCTGTAGAGCTGTAGTTAGAAGCATAGTTCCTGGTTGCGTTCTATTCCCGGTCTAAGCCCTATTAATTTAGAATGTTCCAACATTTAAACTTGGAATTATTAAAAAAACAACAACATTAAAGTCATCTCTCTTAGGTGTAGTTTGCTTTTTTTAATAATAATTTTTTAGGGGTTTATCACCTTTATTGTATGGGGAGCAGAGATGGGAGAAGGGTCGGCAAAGGACCTCGAGCTGGGAGTTGAACTTGGGTTGCCTTGAGCACCTCAGTGCTATGTGTATACGCACTAATCACTTGGCGCTGGCGTAATTTGCTTTTTAAAGTATTTTTACAGTACAGTTTTAGCGATCTTCCTATTGACAGTTGCGTTCCCTTCGCAGTGCACTTTCAAAACAATTGTGCCATTTTGAAAGCAGCCATGGCTCACGATGAAAGCTATAGTGTCACATTGTAAAAGTAGACTTTTAAAAAAATCAATAAACAATGTTTTAGAATAGAAAATGGCAAATTCTCAATAGTATTTGTAAAGAAAACATTGGCCCTATATGTGCCATTTAGATTTATTACAATTAATGGAAAACCAGGTCATTTTTTTTTTTATCAATACTAATATTGGATATTTTTTTTAATGCATGTGCGTGTTTAACAAAAAAAAAAAAATAATTATTTTGGGTTTTTTTCTCTACTCTACCTTGTTTAGAGCATCAATGTGGACATATTACATTAAAACCAACTTGGTTTTAATGATGAATCTGCAACAAAGCAGCTACAATTTTGGGAAAAACTCATCACCACATTCTTTTCCCAAACAATGTATGGTTCTATGATGGTTTTATCAATGTTTGGTAAACGCACCCCTGGGCGGACCACCCAAGTACAGTCTATGTGTGGAAAGCACTGATGTATATACTCACATTATGCAAATACAAACTTATTTTGAACATGATTAAACACACACACTCATATGGAAGTCAGTAAACAAACAGAAGTCATAAACATTCTTCTAAATATCTGCTTGGTCTTAACAGAAAAAAGAATTTTAAGCAGGTTTGAGTAAAAGACTACAGCATTTTCAGATGTATGTTAACTATCTCTTTATGATAAAAAATATTACAGATAAAACGCATGCACTTTACTAACAGCACTAGATGCCCTGAATTCAATGCTGTATATACCAAAAGAATCTAACAGCCAATGACAAAAAGCTGAAAAAGCTATTGTAAAGCAAAGTAAAGCATCTGTTAGCTGTATTGTGAGCTGTATTAGTGAGCAAGAAAAATCTGTTTTGTCAGATGGCTTGTATTTTGCACAAAAAGCATGTGAACATTTAATCACACTGGTTTGTTGAGTCACTCTTGGTGTGAACAGGCTTTATGGTAATCATTTGGCTTGAAGAAGAGGATTGTGGTAAGCAGCACAACGACTGACAATAAGAAATGTTTAATAATGAGCACCAAATCGGTAAATGAGAATAAGTCAAGTGAAAATCGGAGAAATGGCTGCATTGCAATCATGTCATTTAAATACAAAATTAAATTATAATATTGTTTTTACTTTAAAATATATATATATTTTTTAAAATATAGGTATTCCCCTCTTGCATTAATAAATGTCTATCAGTGCTTGTATTAATCGCATTGAGGTAAATTCAGTATATTCCCTGTACCCACTTCTACAGATACATTTTTTTCCAGCGCATTAAGCACTGCTTTCACACTGCAGCTTCCAAAGTTCAGCTAGGACAAAATTAGACTGAACTTAATGTCCAGGGATGTACCGGATACCTTGACAGCTTAAAGGTCATAGGTTCAAACTGCAAGAGGGAATTGATAATCTATGCCCTTTATGCCCTTGAACAAGATATTGGAGCTAAAGCCCAGGTTCCTCTTAGGGGATTGTCCAAAGTCACTTTCAATCCAAGATGCTGTGACCAAACACCAGATTGCTCGCTCTTTAGCTGGAGGTGTTGTAGAACATTTGTCTTTTTGCTCTTTAGCTGCTTTAATGATTTGATTATGTTTTAGGCATAATTTTTCTTCTTAAAATGTACTTGCCTATCTCATGATGCTTACTTTCAGCATTCTATACTGCTTTGCACCACCTTTTTTCTTTCATTTAAAATAAGATTTGTCTTTTTGTCCAGCTTAATGTCATTCCAAAACTATTTCAATATTAATACTAAAATACTATTATAAAAGAATGTAATGATACGGACAAATAAATGTGACAACACCGTAAATGCTTAAGGTTTTGATGTATGGCCTTGGCTAGTCAGCATCAGTTTTTGGTATTGTGTTCTGTTTCATAAGAATTGAATTGAAACTGGCTGAGAAACAACCAAACACATACTCATAGTTTGGTATGCTTATTTTCCTAATTTATTCATTTATCTGTAACTGCATGTTTAACATTCATAATAGCAAACATTTGAATTCCGAATGCATTTGAAATTCCAATTGATTTGAGGCAGTAAACAGAATGCAGAGTTGCAGTTCTTTTTGAGTGCAAATAAACTGCTAGAAAACAATGCTTTTTAAGGGTAGAAAAGAAGGTGACACTTTACTTAAAGGGGTGTTTATAAGACTATCGTTAAATCTTTGTAATCAGGACATGACACATGTCATGAATGTGAATGAGGTTCTATAACAACTGTCATTAAGTGTCATTTACTCCGTTATGACATTTTAAATGCCAAAAGGAATCCCAAATGGCACAGTATACACAATGCACTATGCATCTTACGCACTTACACACTTAACAGCATAATATATGAATGTAGTGTTGTCCCAAATGGAACACTAACATTTTTTTTACTAAACGGAAATTCAAACCATTTTCCAGATTATGTTTGACGGTGGCTAAATTAGCTAAATAAATGACCAAACTACCAAATATTACCTGTCACGAGTATAACTGCATTCACCATCGGGAGATAATCACTCTCATAGAAAAACTTTTCTTTCAAAATCCAAAATAAATAAAGTAATTTATTGCAATCGTTGAGTTTCCAACATTCCACACTTCACTTTATAAGTTGAATAAGTGCATCATCCGGGAATTTAATGTGCACTTATTCTTTTTAAAATTTCAGTGTGAATGCACTACTTAAACTATTTATACTACTAAATGGCATAGAATAGTGCAGAAGTATGCTATTTGAGATGCACCTATTGTTTGTTATGACGACTTGACATGAACAAATACATCGAAACCTGTTTTTGTCTTTGTTGTTACAACTTAACATTACCAACACAACAAAACTTGTCATAAAAATCTGTCATAAACATGATTGTCATAAAGCCGTTGTAAATATGTATTGAATTTTATAACACTGACGTTAATACTTTTTTGACCTCAACTAGAGTGATACAAGCTAAATTTGTCATTAAAATGTAATTAAATGTTAATCACGATGCTTACGACTATTTGACAGAGTAATAACACCTTTAATGACATATTCTAATGACAAATTCAGTTTATTCCACTTAAAATGTGATCAGACAAACACAATGTCATGAGGCACAATTATAATGCATCATAACAAACATGTTTATGACAGATCTTTGACAATTTCTGTTGTCTGTGTAATGTCAAGTTGGCAATGACAAAGATGAAGACAGGTTGTGATTTATTTGTCAAATTATCATAATAAACAATGTCATCTTTGTGTTTAAAATAATATAACTGGGTGAATGACACTTAATAACATTCATTCATTCATACATACTCTTTTCGGCTTAGTCTCTTTATTAATCTGAGATTGCTACAGCGGAATGAACTGCCAACTTATCCAGCATATATTTTATGCAGCGGATGCCTTTCCAGCTGCAACCCATCAATAGGAAACATCCATACATACTCATTCACACACATACACTATGGATAATTTAGCTTATTCAGTTCACCTATAGTGCATGTCTTTGGACTTGAGGGGAAACCAGAGCACCTGAAGAAAACCCACTCGAACACGGGGAGAACATGCAAACTCCACACAGAAATGCCAACTGACCCAGCCGAGGCTCGAACCAGCGACCTTCCTTCTTTGAGGCGATCGTGCTAACCACCGTGCCACTGTGACTCCCCTACTTAATAACAGTTGTCATTTGTTTATTGCATAACAAGAACAATAGAATTGAGAAATACAGTACTTGCACTTTTTTCACATCTACGGAACAAATTAATAGAGAATAAAATGAAAAAATAAATAAAATTACAGGGCATATATAAATTACAAGAAGTCTGCATAAGAAAATGATTACAAAATTGCATACATTTTTATAGCATTTTTATTTCTAAAGTCTTTTAGAGATATAATGATTAACATAAATTTTAAACAAAAAAATGTTTATCATTTTACCATTTTTATTTGTGTACAAATTTCCCATAAATAGTTAAATTGATAAACAACATTTGCTCCAACGTTTTATCATTATATATATATATATATATATATATTATTTTTTTATTTTTTTTTATTTTATTTTTTTTGTAAGTTTAAATATAAAATATTTAACATTAAACCATATGGTATAGAGTTGAATTCAGAATTATTAGCCCCCCTTTTATTTATTATTATTTTTTTAATATTTCCAAAATTATGTTAAACAGACCAAAGAACTTTTCACAGTATGTCTGATAATATTTCTTCTGGAGGAAGTCTTATTTGTTTTATTTTGACTAGAATAAAAGCAGTTTTTAATTAAAAAAAAACATTTTTGGGACAAAATTATCAGCCCCTTTAAGCTACATTTTTTTTCGATAGTCTACAGAACAAACAATCATTAAATTAAGCCCTTAAATGTCACTTTAAGCTGTATAGAAGTATCTTGAAAAATATCTAGTAAAATAATATTTACTGTGATCATGGCAAAGATAAAATAAATAAGTCATTAGAAATGAGTTATTAAAACTATTATGTTTAGAAATGTGTTGAAAAAAATCTTCTCTCCGTTAAACAGTAATTGGGGGAAAAAATAAACGGGGGCAGATAATTCAGGGGGGCTAATAATTCTGACTTCAACTGTGTATGTGGTATGAATGCACATGTATAAAACAGATGTTTTATCGATTCCTTCTCTATTTTACTGTAGCAGTTGTCATAAGCATGCATAAAATCTCATTCACATGACATGGCATGTGTAGTGTAATGATTATAAAGGTTTCATGACGGTCTTATGAACACCCTTTCAAGTAAATCTACAACAAAATAATTAGTCCTATATATTTTATATTGGTGTATATTTTATTGGTGTAACAGATAAATATATAAGACATGCGCAAACATACACACACCTCACTTCTTTCTAAAGCAGGTCGCCAGCACTCTGGAGGCCTGGGTCAAGGTTACAAGATTTTTAGGAGGGCACCAAAGAAAGGCAGCTTCCATTGAACTCATGCAACAACAAAGTGTTTTTTTTCTTCTACTCTCTTCCTCGCTGCTCCTGGTGAGGGTTGTTCCTCTAGAGGACAAATGCGAAGATAAAAATAGAGAGCAGGCGTATATCAGAGACAGACCTAGTCATCAGTCTTCACCTCTGCATATTAGCATTGTCAGAGGAGTTTAATTAAGATGATTCCAATCTGACAGCAAAGCCTGAACCCATTACTTACTCTCTATTTGTCTCTGTAGGAGTACATGTGGGCGGTGTGCATGTGTGTGCACATCAGCTTTCTTATGTGTGTTTGCTTATTTTATTGCTGTAATCGTTTGAACAGTTGTCTAGCTGTATGGTGAAGGCGTATTGCAGATTTAATATGTTCAATATAAAAAATACTGCATTCTTTTACAGAGATGTTGGTTGAGAGTTGCAGGAAAAATGTCATATGGTTCTTAAAGGGCTATGAAGCCCCTCTGTCTCAGCAGGGTGTTTTCTTATCTCTAGTTTGAAAAAAGTCAGGAAAGTGGGTGAGTCAAGCTCTGTTTAGGTTAGTTTAGATTTAGCTAAGAGTGTCGAGTTGCGAAAGAGGGAAGACTTTGCATAAAAATGGGAGTTTTCCATTCAAGCACGCGCTCATTTTCACAGAGGCAAAACAACACACAGACTCAGGGGAGAAAGACAGTGACTATGTTTACATGAACATTAGTAATTGAATTATTTGCCAAATTCTTAATTTGTTGACTTTAACTGCAGTTTGGCACTTTCACTTTTATTTAGGAACATTTCATGCATGCCCCCGTGACAAACGAGATGTTGAATATGAGGAAATGCTGGAAGAGTGTAGTTATAATGGAATTTTTGATACCACACGCCGTATGTGAGAAAAAAAAAATGCTCAGCATTTCTAACTTTCTAGCAATTTCTGTAACTTAGATGCACTCCGTAGGTAGCGTCAGAAAGCCATGTTTGTATAGACTGTCCTGTCACAAAATGTGTGTACACAACAGTTATTGTTTAAATTAAGGTGTTTACATTCGGAGAGCAGCATTTACAAAGGATTTTGTTTTGTAGTGATATTACCGTACTGTAAACTTAGTAACTAAATCATTTTGACTAAGGTATGTCTTTAATAACTGAAAGAGTACTGCTGACGATACTAACTAACTTTGCACTTACCAAATCCGTAGAGACAGGACAGTCAACACTGAACTTGATGTGGTAGCACAACATGAAAAGTAATTTATTTATTTATTAAAGTTTAATTTTGGAACTTTAGCATTGGAAAACTAAACATCTTTTAATTACTGACTATTGTTTGAATTCATTATGAGAGCAGAGGCGCAGTAGGTAGTGCTGTCACCTCACAGCAAGAAGGTCACTGGTTCGAGACTTGGCCGGGTCAGTTGGCATTTCTGTGTGGAGTTTGCATGTTCTCCCTGCATTCGCATGTGTTTCCTCCGGGTGCTCCGGTTTCCCCCACAAGTCCAAAGACATGCGGTACAGGTGAATTGGGTAAGCCAAAATTGTCCATAGTGTATGTATGTGTGCAAATGAGTGTGTATGGGTTTCCCAGTGATGGGTTGCTGCTGGAAGGGCATCCGCTGCGCAAAACATATGCTGGATAAGTTGGTGGTTCATTCCGCTGTGGCGACCCCAGATTAATAAAAGGACTAAGCCGAAAATAAAATAAATGAATGAATAATTTCTGCCTTTATGTATAGATTATGAAATGTTATTTAGATTTTTTTACATTTTTTTTCTCTTTATAATTGATTATATATTAATAAATATGTCAATTGGCATTATGTATTACATGTGTTATATACATATCTATATGTTATTGTAGAGTGCTGTTTCAATGTGAATTCAAAAAGTTAAAAAAATTAAAGTATAAAAATAAAAGGTGTTCAGGTATCCAAAATATATACAATAATAGTATGTTCAATATGAAAAATGTTTATCAGGATCTTATGCAGGTGTTTCCTTACTGATATTCTGAGATGTTCCACAATCTGACGTATTGTTATTGCTTTTTGCTCCTTTTTTCAACTATAAAGCTGCATTTACTCAATCCACATTGTAAAAACAACAATCAAAATAAAGATGGCACAACTTGACTTGACTTTGTTTGTCACACAGGCGCATCGATGATGACATGGGCCGCACTCATGAACTGGAACACTCTGCTATCAAATGTATGCGAGGGATTATGTACTGCTACATGCGGCAGTCTGATAAGGTGGGTAACAGCATCACAACACAGGCCAGAGTGCAGCAGTTCATTAAATTTGTCTTTTTACTAACTCAAAAACCCATGCTAAAGATTCTTTATTCACCACTGATGAGCAGTTGCATGATTCAAGACTTTATTTTCCTTCTGTTAATAATTTTTGCCCTTATGTAGCAGCCTGCAGATCTGATGTCTTTGATGCTAATTTAGCAGCATTTCCGATCGTATAATATTGTTCATATTATTTTGATTTGATTGACTTCCACTATACCTGACCTCAGATTTGCTTTTCAGAGGAATTGCACACACACACCCCAAGTTCTACTTTTCACACTCTTTCCAGCTCTCTCCACACTTTCAAGCTACACTGGGTTTTCTTTACTGTTCTGGGGTTAATAGTAAATCTCAAAAAGAGCTCTGTACTGGTGTGAGGCTTTGTTATGGACCCACTCACTGTGTCAGGGCTCAGCAGTATAGAGTTTTCTTTTTTTTTTTCAGCTGGCCAGTCAGGCCTATAGTTTGGATTTTTACTTGCCTTGCCAATTGTTAAAGTGTCTTTGTAATTTATTTAGTTGATTTTTTTTTTAATCGCTTCAAGTAAAGTTTTTCATTAAAAGATTAGTTCATCCAGAAGTGATTTTTTGTCATCATTTAATCACACTTCTAATCTTCAAGCTTTTGTTCATGTTCCAAACACAAATAAGCATGTTTGTAATTAAACCTTGAAGTTTTAATTGATAAAGTTTTTTCCATTAAAAGTAAAAAAAAAACATTAAGTTAATATGCCAAAACAATCTGAATTTGAATTGTATTCATTTGAATAATTAACAATTCTAAAACTAAATATTATATGCCATTAAAAAATGTTTTGAATTTGAATTTCTTAACTTGAATTAAAATTTCTTAACTTGAATATTGAATATCTGAAATTTAAGACAACTGATTTTTATTTTTTTTTTAAGTCAGATTATTAGACATATTTTCCAACTTCAGATTTTGTTGGGTTCTGAATTAATAGACTACAGATATTGGGTTTGTAAAAAAAGTATGTCAAGGGTTATCAACAGGAAAGAGTAGGTGAGTTAAAAAAAAATAAAATTCAAGTTAAGAAATTCAAATTTAAAACATTTTTAATAGCATATAATATTCAGTTTTATTAAATTACAATTGTTAACAACTCAGAGGAAAATTATACAGATTCAGATTGTTTTGGCTTATTATTAGCTCCATATCTAAGCATGTAATTATGTAAGCCAACAATGAAAACAAGTCAACAGTACTTACTTAAAGGGATAGTTCATCCAAAACTAATAATTCTGTCATCATTTACTCGCCCTTTACTTGTTTCAAACCTGCTTGAGTTTCTTTCTTCTGTTAAAAACAAAAGATGACACTTTGAAGAATGTTTAAAACCTGTAACCACTGACTCCCGTATAATATTTCTTTTTTTCTAATATGGAAATCAATGGTTACAGGATTCCAGCTTTCTTGACGATGTCCTCTATTGTATTCAACAAAAGAAAGAAACCTGTATAACCACTAATTTAAAACCACTTGAGGGTTATTTAATAGCGAGTACATTTTTATTTTTTGGCTGCATAAAGCTTAAACGCAGATCAAATCTTATTGGTCCAGCATGCATTTCTTTTTAGGTTGATTTTAGTTCACCAATGTTTATTTGTGAATGAAAAGCTTCTTTAATGTTCTTCAAAACATGAAGCTGTCAGAAGATGAGAATTGGTCAGTTTAACCACTCATCTGATTGATTAATATGTAATTGTTTTGAAGCTGCAATTTTTTGATGGCATGGCTTTTCAATGGAGAGATCAAAAGTTCTCAGATTTCATAAAAAAATAATACCAATTTGTGTTTTGAATATGAATTTAAGTCTTATGGGTTTGAGTCAGCATTAGGGTAAGTGACTGATGTCAAAACTCAAATTTTTGAAATAGGTTTTATACTTATAATAGACAGTTTAGCTAGTTAAACTCACGCCATGGGATGTGGCCTCAATGTCTGTGACACACCACAGTTAAGTGTTGGTTTTGACTACAGATGTGTGAACTCACTTCACAAAGTGGGTAGTGCTTGCCTGGGCATTATTTAAAGGGCTGTCTGTGTGTTGCCTTTGAGTGGCTGCCAGTTGAGCTTTTCTGTGGTTTAACAGTTGGATGTTGCAGCAATCAGGGTTTTGACATTGTTCCCATGGCGAGCTGCCTGGAGCGGCTGTGGTCATTTGCAGAGTAGTTGAGCTTCCTGTTTCGGTCCAACTGGTAACACTGTTGTTCTGAGTTTTGTAACCACCAGCTTAATGAAAACGCTAAGTAATACAAATGAGAGGTTCTTCTATGCTTTAATGCAAGGGTCTTGAACCCTGTTTCTAGAGATCTATCTTCCTGCAGAATTCAGCTCCAACTCTGATCAAGTCAGGTTGAGCTTTATTGTCTTTCTACTGCATATGTTATGTCTCGCAGGACAAGGGTGCTAAATAATCAACAAAAAAAGGCTTTTGCTGCTCATTCAAATTACGTATTTAAAATGAGTTAAAAAAAAACAATTCCTTAATGTTTTTTTTAGGATAACACAGTTGTTTTATGTTCAATCCACTTAAATTACAAAAAATTATTAAGTTAACTTGATCTATTTGTGTTGGGACAACATTAAGTAATTTTGTGAAACCTTTTTTACATTGTAAGTTAACAAACATAAATATGAACACAACACTGGTTGTAAGATATATTTCAAACCTACTGTATACAAAACAAGTACACCCAAAAGGTAATATAACTATACTAACCGCTAACTTGACATATACTATACTATACACATAACCTAAGACAGACTGTGCTGTTAACTGTACTGTACTGTCTTGCACTGCAAGATATTGTGCTAAAGAGGCATCATGATTTGTGTTACATTCACAAGTGAACTTTTTGTTATTATTATTATTATTATTATTATTATTATTATTATTATTATTATAACCTTTATTTTACCAGGAAAGACACATTGAGATTAAAAGCATCCTGGCCAAGATTAGGCAGTATACAAGTCACCTGAGTCTAATAAAAAACAATTAAGAGTTAACATGAACCAAACATTGAAAAACAAACTAATTAAATCATCTACAAGCCTGTGTTTCAATTTCTAACTCATTTATACTCTTTTTAAAAGCATTTAGTGAAATCAATTCTTTAAACTGCAAATTTGTTTGTAGATTATTCCATGCAAAAGGTCTTTGTAAGATGAAGTTTAAGTAAAGTGTCCGTTGCACATAGACAGAAGAGTGTTTCTACAGGTGGTTTGTCAAGCCCACTCACCTGTGTGAAGTACACTCAGAAATGCACAATCAAACACAACTTGATTAACTAATTAGGATCTGAAGAAGCTCTTGATAATTACACACAGGTGTGTTTGATCAGGGTTAAAACTAAACTTTGTCTAAGGTAGATCTGCAGAAACAGGATTGGGGATTCCTGCTTTAACGAGCAGTCATTTTAATTAGTCCTTTTTATTTATAAGTTTGACATTCATAGTTGAAGATAAACATATACACTCAACGGCCACTTTATTAGATACACCTGTCCAAATGTTCGTTAATGCAAATTTTGAATCAGTCAATCACATGGCAGCAACTCAAAGCATTTAGGCATGTAGACATGGTCAAGACGAAATGAGGCAGGAAGGTGATTTAAGTGACTGAACGTGGTATGGCTGTTGATGCCAGACAGGTTGGTGTATTTCAGAAATTGCAGATCTACTGGGATTTTCATGCACAACCATCTCAAGGGTTTATAAGGAATGGGCCAAAAAAGAGAAAATATTCATTGAGCAGCAGTTCTGTGGGTGCAAATACCTTGTTGATGCCAGAGGTTAAAACAGAATGGCCAGACTGGTTCCAGCTGATAGAAAGGCAATAAATAGCAAGTCAAACAACCACTTGTTACAACCGAGGTGTGCAGAAGAGCATCTCTGAACCCACAACATGCCAAACCTTGAGGCGTAATGGCTGCGGCAGCAAAAGACCACACTGTGTGCCACTCCTGTCAGCTAAGAACAGGAAGCTGAGGCTACAATTTGCACAGGCTCACCAAAATTGGACAATAAAAGATTGCAAAAACGTTGAGTCTGCGACATTTGGATGACAGGGTCAGATTTTGGGGTCAACAGCATGAAAGCATGGATCCATCCTTGTATCAGTGGTTTAGGCTGCTGGTACTAGTGTAATTGTGTGGGGGATGATTTCTTGGCACATTTTGGGTCCATTAGTACAAATTGAGCATCGTGTCAACGCCACAGCCTACCTAAGTATTGTTGCTGACCATGTCCAACCCTTTATGACCACAGTGTATTCATCTGATGACTACTTCCAGCAGGGTAACATAAAGCGCATGTCATAAAGCGCAAACCATCTCAGACTGGTTTCTTGAACATGACTATGAGTTCACTGTACTCAAATGGCCTCCACTGTCACCAGATCTCAATCCAATAGAGCACCTTTGTGATGTGATGGAACAGGGAATTCAAATCATGGATGTGCAGCCGACAAATCTGGAGCAACTGCGTAAGGCTGTCATGTCAATATGGACCAAAATCTCTGTGAAATATTTCCAGTACCTTGTTGAATGCCATGAAGGATTAAGGCAGTGCTGAAAGCAAAAGGGGGTCCAACCCAGTACTAGTAAAGTTTACCTAATAAAGTGGCCGGTGAGTGTATATATTTATTCTGTGTTTGTGTTATATAAATGCTGCCTTGGTGAACATAAGTGACTTTCAAAAACATTTTTAAAAGCATACTAAGTCCTACGGTTTTAAAAAGTGGCATGCACAATTATAAACAGACTGGAAACAAATGCATTTACCAAGCACATTTTAGTTTTTTGATATAAAGTGTTTTTTTAATTTGCAAATCATTTCAGTTTTTCAGCAGTTAATGAATTGGAAGCATTTGAATTTACATTTTAGGTGATGTTCAGATGCGCAGTTGTTGTGGAGCCTGTCTTTAACAC